ACCCGCTAATCCGAGGCTCGAACAAAGCAAAGACATCAGGCCCAAACCAGCCACGTAATGACAAAAACGCCCGTCTAAAACCATCAGACGCAGCGCCACGAACGTTCCAGGAACCAATCTTCATGAGAACACAAAGGGAAGGGGACAACCCCGAACAACACTCTATAAAGAGCAAGGAACCTGCGTCCCACTACCATCGTCCATAGCCACAGCATGATCCTCCATTAGCAGAGAGCTAGAATGGCTGGAATCCCCCATCTCCTGGATCACCGGTTCCCGGAGAGAACGAGAACTCCGACCATCGACTAACATACCCTCCTCACCCAGGTCAACCAAATCCTCATCGTTACTAGGATTATCATGACCCGGAGCGTCTTCCACTTGGACCACACGGTGTTGAGGCGGATCCAAAGAGGACGGGACTGGCACAACTTTGGACAGGATCGAAATGCTCGCACTCTCTTTGGCAACTCCTTTCCCCTCCAATGACCCAGAAGGGCCCACGGTCGGTGTCGGCAAAATCACAAAAACCCTACCAGCCCCACGCTGAGTAGACGACCCTCCCCACACTTTCACTTGGTTAGGCCTCAACGTCGGCTTAACACCCTTCTCTCCCATCTCTTTTGTCGTACCTGTCGGGGCAGCCTCCACCTCCTTCCTGGCCTTAAAACTCCAGCCAGACTTTCCGGGCGAAGCCCACAGACCCGGCCTAGCTCGCTCTTTCCCGCAATGGGAGTAACCTCCTCCTCGTCAACTTGAAGAGACCTAAACCGAGACCCTTGGGGATCAGCCCCCCGCCCTGTCCCGGCAGACCCACGTACCTGCGGTCCCGAAAGCTATCGTTGCCTAGGATTAACCACCATCCAAGGCCCATAAGAAGCAGCCTCCGGACCTCCAGCTACCGGCTCCTCCTGACGCGGCCGACCATCATCATCCCCCCCACCCGTGTTCGTGGATGGGTTATGCGCTCCAGCCATAGGAACATCAGCACCCACACCATTCTCCTTTGATTTGCCTGAGTCCCCCTCCCATTCCTCTCCTGTAACACCCTCCGAGCAATGCGCAACAGTGTGACCATAGCGTCCACATTTAAAGCAAATATTCGGGAGGAATTCATATTCCACCCGTTGTAGTTTGTCCTGGATAGACAAGCTAGGACACACCAGCTTAGTAAGGTCCAACACCACCGCAAGACGAGCAAACTTCCCCCTAGTTTGAGATGTTGTCTGGTGATCAACTTTCACAACTCGACCAACCACCTCACCAATGGTACGAAAGACTTTCTTATGATACAAATGGACCGGCATTCCCAGAAGGCGGATCCACGTCACCAGCGAGCTTATCTTGTTACAAAAGGCATCAAACTTATCCTCCAAGGCTGGACATGCAAGTAGAATTTCTGGTATTGTTTTGTCACCATCCATGGTCCTCCAACTAGAACCCGTTCAGCATCCTCCTTAGTGTGAAGCCGGATTTGGAAATAGCTGTTCTCCAAATCCACCATATCGCAACCACGCATAAAAGGCCACATAGCTTCCAACTTACGTTGGAAAGTTGGTGAGAGATCGTTGCTCCCATAATCTTCACAACCACCACATTGTTACGATCGCAGCAACTCCTTATAAAAGCTTTCCTTCAAACAAATATCTGGCACGGACCCTCGACGGTCCACCACCACATCATCATCAGGATCCCCGTCATCATCATCAATAGTCATCGTGTTCAAAGCAGACACATGGCTCCGGTTCACAACATCACGAAAAAACGGAACCCATATGCTCCCGGGAGGCGAACCCCTCTCCGTGCCAGCCCCCTCTTGAGGCGTATCTGAGTCAACCCCCCTGGAACGCTTGAGTGCCCGTCCATCTCCAAGAGTCAAGGAAAGCTCCCCACCCCCTCTCCTATCAGGTGGATCAGTCTTCAATCCCATAGGGTTCCGTTCAAACGCCAGTGCCGAGGACATCTATGTTTTATGTTGATAAATAATAAATAGAATCAAGTGGCTATTTGACAACAGATAAAAAAAGTTAGGAATTTATGTCAAGGTGAAATTAGTTGCGTGAAGTCTTTTGTAAAGCAAATGCGTGAATGAATTCCCCATCAGATTTTGTCCTTCTCCTTTTGCGCCCTCATCTCCGTATATATACGAATGTTTTCAGTTGCAGAAAATAGAACATAGGCGAGAGAAAAAGTATGTAACAAACTGAAGAGAAAAGAGTGGACAAGTGACGAGAAGAGAAAATTAGAAAAAGCAGAAAACAAATGAAAATTAATAACACGTCTTATCTTTTTTTGTCCCAATAAAGATCAATATATATAAAACTCAAATCAAATTGTTCAAACCGAACATCAACTGACATACTCAAACCTACCTAGATGGCTAGATAAGCAAGAAACGAGCTTATACACATGATAAGCTCTAAGGAACCACAAAGGGTTACAAAAGTCATAAAAATCAAATAAAATCAGTAAAAATACAGTAATCAAAGCTCTGATAGAGCTGCATTATGTCATGAAAAACCCCAGACATGGCATATGGTAAGTTTTTGATCATTTTCAGTTACAGTAGAGATTCTTCATCTGAAATGCTGCACTCTATGATTTTCCATTTCCTCTTTGTTGCTCCATCCAAAGCACCTCTAACTGCCAGCATCACTGCCACTTGAGGATCTTCCACTCTATTTTCTTCATCTTGCAAGTTTTCCACTACAACTCCATCAGAACTTGCACTGCAAAACCATTCTACCTTTCCATTTGAAAGACATAAGGCACTGAGTTGTAAAAGTACAAATCATACCTTCTTGGAAAAATGTCTCCTTTTGTACTCAGTGTATGGTTCCACCAGTAGCTGGTTTTGGCCTTCAAGGAATGGTTGAGTAAGCTTCAGCCAGTCTTTTCTTGCCCCTGCTACTACTCTCTCTTCTCTGAAATTTTACCCTCTGAAAATCTTGTTGTTTCTAGCTTTCCATATCCTCCATAACAAACACATAGATAACATGACCCTATGCTTCATCTTTTTGAACTGAGAACTAGCAGAAATATCCTCCCACCAATCAGTTATAGTCATCTGCTTCTCCTCCCAAGCTGTCCACACAATACCAATTAGCTTCCAACAAAGTTTGGCATATTTGCATTTATAGAACATGTGTTCTATATCTTCTTGATCTTCTCCACAGGTTTTGCAGATTAGATCAACATTAATCCCCTCCTTTGCCAGTTGAACTTTAGTCCTAAGGAAACCATGGTAAACTCTCCAGAAAAAGTTTTTCACTTTTGGCTGCAATGGCAACTTCCATGTTCTTCTCCACATTTTCATATCCTTGTGCTCTCTGTTGCTTGATTGGCCTTTGATTTGTAACTCTGTCTGATGATGTAAGATGTTCTCATACACAGAATTTACATAAAAGATTCCTCTAGACCCAAAGTGCCAGACAAGTCTATCTTTTTTCTGGAGTTGGCTGACTTGGATCTTCAATATGGCCTTTGCTTCAAAAGGACTGAAACTCTGATAAATGAGTTCCTTGTCCCAAGTTTTACCATCATCAAGTAGAAGATCACTCACCTTATGCAGTCTTTCATTATCCCCCTCAAAATAGAGAACACGTTTAAAATTGGGGATATAAAGAACCCATTGTGACTTTCAAATGTCAATAGAAGATCCATCTCCAACCTAGTATCTAACGCCCCTCACCAGACTCTCTCTAGCATCTAACCAACCCTTCCAAAGCCAAGAATCCCCCTGTTTTTTCCTCACCTCAAACAGATTAGAATTGAACAAATAACACGTCTTATCAAAATGGCAAAAGAGTGATAATTTTAGTTCTAACTTTTAGTGCTCAGTTCTCAATTCCGCTCCAGTTCGTCGGAGCTTGTAAGTCTGGTGTGCCACCAATTTTAAGACGACCGCCGTTGTATCTTTGGGGACGATACGCCTGAAAAATTGGTTCTTGGAAGATCGACCAAGTTATTCAAGTCCACAAGATTTTATGACCTAGATCTTCTTTTATGTAATACTAATTACTATGAAATGTTTTTTTTTATTATTCTTTTTATTTATAGCAATTGTCTCTAAAATTTAGTTTAGTCACAGAATAAGAACTTCCCAAAAATAAAATTGTAAGTAATAATTATGTGTAGAAATTTTTTGCACCAACTCAACAAATAATATGCGGCTTTTGTATGTCTTCCTTTTGTCATAGAATAGAAAGTTCCAAAAATTAATATTAGAAAATTATTCTGCAAGTGTTCTCGGTTATTACACGATTGTCATTTGCCTAGTAGTCGCAATTTCATTCACATAACAAGAATAATTGTTTAAAAATTAGGTGTGCAACTACCCTGCGACGGACCCTCATTGACCTAACCAAATCTGTGTCTCATAATTTATCGCATAATTTGTCCGCACTTGATGGGGGTGAAGAAGTTATCTTATTAATGGGCAGTGTAAAAAACTTAATTTAACTTCATAGTGATGAAAATAACTATTTTCACATAAGTCTCCCAACTGAAACAATCATCTTACTACAATTAAATTAGTCAGAATAATCTATTTACAAAAACAACATCCTCCAATTGTCAGCTACAACTTTCTATCACCACTTCTAATAAAACAGTTCTTTGCAGACAATTATAAAGCATGGAGAGACTCGGCTCACAATAAAACATACAACCGGAGCACTTAGTCGTCGTGAGCCCAAGTACCTTATTTGTGGCCCTCAAAATCCCATACTACATCAGAGAACATCATTGGGTGCTGAATTACACATAGTATTTAGCCTTGCAATTCTGAAACTTACAAAGCACCTTATACTTTCCAAGTATGTTTACAATGCAACATTTCCTATTAAAAGATCCATGGAACGAGCACGAGAGAGATCTGGATAGCAGGATTGAGCGCCAAAGTTGCCATGCGATGTATTGATGTTTATCATCAACTCAAAAATGACAGCAAGTGGTTGTAGAATCACATCACGAATTTATAGGCTCACTAGCTCACAAAGTTAAACTCTAAGAATCCGAGTTAACTTGTAGACCTGCACCAAAGACAGCGGTCCCTGCCAGTTAGAGGCGGCCATTGCAAGAATAACCTTCGAAATTTCAAATACCTCTCTTGATTTTATTTATTATTTATTTCTTCACGAATTACGCATCAGTAACATGTGGCGTTTCTTATACAAATAAACATACCACAAGGTGTGTTTGTAATATTGAAAGTAAATAGATTTTCATAATCAATCTATATACAGTAGTATTATGAAAGAAAAAATATTTTATAAAAAATTGTATGGACTAAAAAAAACTCGTCTTTAATAAGATTTTAATGCAAATAATGTAACTACTATGAATTAAAGATAAGAATATTAATAAAACAAATTTTAATTACCTTATAAGGCAGGACTCTAATTTTATATCAAGATGCCACTAGACAGGGTTCGACTCCACGAATATTACTACAGCATTTTGTGTTCGATGGGAGGAATATATATGGCACTTTCGGTTGGTTCACAAAAGTTAAAATAGGTCAACTAATTAAGTAGTTCAAAATATTAAAAGAAAACGAAACATTTTCTACACATTCATTCACATTTCAAAATAGTACTTGATGTGAATGAAGTAAATGCAGTATGTCAAAAGAAAATGAAGTTGTTACTGCACAAGCAATGATTAATGAATGATGAAGCATGAAATAAATGCAGCATATCAAAACCATTGAAGTTGTTGAGTACACAAGGCACGATTAATAATACAGGATGAAGCACCTATGGAGAACGAGAACGAGAACATTGACCTTTTAGTGAAAGATATAAAAAGAAATGAATAAGATCTTGGTAAAGTGGTCATTTCTTTTAGGTATTTTTAATAAGTTTTACCATTCCAGAGGCCACGATCCAATTAACTATTTGTACAAATTTGGTCAACTTAGGATTGTGTGTTGGTCAACTTAAGATTGGGGAGAAGAAGTGCCAAAATATTATAGACGATCGAGATAGCGAGGATCGATTGAGTTTCAAGTTTTAATTCTTGTCAAGCATAATTGTATAACTGTATAACACAAGAGGAGAGTTAAATATGGTGAGTGAGAAAACGGCAAGGTTGCAACCTATTCAAGCTGCCAAGGACAAACCATCAATTACTTCTATCAACCCAAATGATCTTAAGGCAGATAAAGATGCGAACCATTACAACAGGAAGACGGTAAAAGCAAGCAAGAAGAATATGAAAATGATAGTACCATGATAATTGAAGAGCAACGTCAAAAGCTGACAAATAAAAGAAATAGAAGAATTGATGCATTTATAATTTACATTAGGACCTTATTTAGTTCTTTCACTTTCTTTACATAGTTCTTTCACTTTCTTTACATTACGGACTCATTTATGCTTTATTTTATTATCCCAAATACACTTTTCTTAGGCTGTGATTTTATATTTTTATTACTATGATTTGAAATGAATAAATACAATACAATTACAAAAATTATTATTTTTATTTACTTGAAAAAATTCATGGCCTAAAGAAAGTATAATGCATGTGCATTTACTAATTACTAATTAGATCAAACTTAAGAGTATCTTTCACAATTTAATAGTACAAGTGAGTTGTTTTTTTTATTAAAAAAAAAAAAAAAAAAAAAGAAAAAAGAAACACTTACCTGAGCAGTTCTGTTAGGGAGTGGCACTTCTAGGCAATATCGAGCACCATCGACCCTGCAAATCGAATCAATGGCAAAAGAACAATCAGAAAAACCATGTCAAATGCTGTAAACCTTTTCATTGAGTAGATGTTTGCAGGAACAGAACACTAAAATTCACCTCCTGCTAATGGTCCTATGAGAATATTGATCTTTACCAATTAATCCTCGACCACCATAAATATCATCATCTGTATTCAACACAATCTGCACAGTGTTTAAAATTAGTATAACCATATATTTAGCATGTGGTTTTTGAAGATGAACCAACGTGAGGAATATAACTATACATTAAACTTTGTGCACATCTGCAATTCCTTACACTTGGAAATAGTTCAGCAGTTAATAATAAGAACCAGTAAACAAATGTGCATGGCCCCACACCAAGTCCAGGGAAATAAAAATGAAAATATGAAAGTATATAACTTAAAAAGGAAAAAGAAAATCTAAAGATAGGTGGCAAGCAGTTCCAACTAAATTAAAGATTTTCCCGATTTGGGTGGATTGAACATACTTACTTCATATTCTCCAGCTTCTTCAACACCTACGCGATACCTTTCATATGAATTTGTTGGGTGAAAATTGAAGACTAAGAGAAAAGGACCTCGTAAGTAAGATATGACCTGGTCACACATACATCCATTATTTAATATATACAATTTACATAAAGAGCAAGGAAATGGCAAATATAGTATATGCTTTACCATCATTGCATCATTGACATGGTGAATATTCGGAAGGCCTCTTGAACCTTTCAGGAGTATTTTTCCATCTTCATCCAGTTTCATCATGTCCTGGAAGTATACTCATTATTAAATCTGAAATATTGTGATGTACAAGCATATCTAAGAAAATAAGGATCTTACAGGATGAAAATCGAAATAATTATAGTAGCATTGTAGCAGTAACACAGAGCTCTAGAACGAACACATCCAACTCACTTTATCAAAAACATATAATTTGCGATGAAATTCGTCCTCCAAAAGCTCCCAACGACGATTAGCAAGTGAATAGGAAAATTTGTTGCTTGACATTGGGAACTCGACCCTCTGGGGAAAAGATAAAAACTATCAAGCCTGAAATGCACATCGTTTATGCAAGGTAGTCGGATGTCACCTTTGGGTGCCCAAATTCATTGCCCATAAAATTAAGGTATGCCCGACCACCAACTGTAAATGTGATTAATCGAATCATCTGTGAACCAAGAAAACCACAGTTGAAAAACTGCCTGTTGGACATACACAAGACTCATGGCAAATTAGTAACTTGTTAAAGAACTTAGGCATTGATGACTTGAAAGAAAAACAGTCCTACATCAGATGAAATACGCAATATGATCAGTAGATGTGCCTAAAAAACCCCAATTACTAATATTCGTCAAGTATCCCTCAGAATGTATGCTTTATTTCTTAAACGGGGATCCCACTCGGAGCCTCCGAGGGACCAATAAATTACGAGCAAAGGGCAGCAGCACATTTACAGTCAAGGAAGAGCTTGTAAGGGGTCCAACATTATCAAACACGTAGGATATAGAATTTAAGGAAGAAGTTATGTGACAAAATGAGCATAGCATTAACCATTTACCTTATGCAAAGACGATCCCCTAAGCAAGGACTCCTCTGTGTTAGCCGAACCAAAAAGTACTTCAGCAAATGAACGCCCCCCTGAAATGGACTGGCAAGCAAGAAGAACATACATTTTTAGATCATAAATATGGTAATTATATTGAAAATATTAATGAAAAGAAGATGAGGGTCGTGGTGGAAGCACTGGGGGAGAATTTTTCATTTGGATTTAATAAATGGTCTTGGGTAAAACTCATCCTCAAAAGCTATCTCAAAGGGAGAGGATGCTCAACCCATACTTATACACAATAACAGCCCAATAACCAATGGATGTGGGACAAACATAACTTTTAACACCGGCCCTCACGCGCAGCGTGCCAAACAAAATGGGCCAAGTTCAAAACACAACATTGCCTCTAAATAAACAAATCTGGGTGTTCTGATACCATGATAAATGGGCCTTAGTATAATTCATCTCCAGAAGCTACCTTAAAGGGAGAGCGTGTCCAACCCACACTTATACATAATAACGCCCAGTAACTAATTGATGTGGCACAAACATAACTCACAACACCCGTATGCACACTCAATGTACCAAACCAAATGGGTAGGGTGCAAACCCAACATCGCATCCAAAAAACAAAACTTTTTTTTACCGATCAAACAAAATTTGATACCATGATAAATGGGTTTGGGAAGAACTCATCCCCAAAAGCTAGCTCAAAGGAAGAGGCTGTCAAACACACTCTTACACACAATAATAGCCCAGTAACTAATCGTTGTGGGACAAAAATTCTAACAGGATTCATAAAGCTATGACATTAGATCACCTGGTTGTGATTTTCAGCATACAGAATCATCTTGTCAGCAGTGCATTTGTTTCCAGTCAAAGTACTCACAAGCTAGACATAAGAAATAAAACAGAAAATGGAATGACAGTAAGTACTTCTAATGGATAAATGTGTTATAAGTTCAACCAGGGCATAAGGAATAAATAATTCTTGTGCTGTATGAAAAAACCTTAGTCATGCTCCATTCATGGTCAGGAACATTCTCAAGGAATGACAACCACAATTCTGATGCAGAGAGATTAACGAAATAATCAAATCCCAATCCACCTTGAGAAGTTGGTTCACAGAGTCCTGGATAAAGTGTGGCCTGACATTATATCCACCATTAAAAGAGATCAGAAGAGACATGCTAGAAACCATTAGCTCTTGTGACAATAAAAAATTTAAAATACATCTGTACACCATTGCACTCGGATAGATGGTATCCATACACACACAAGTACGCATAGGATCAGAAAAATTAAAAAAGAAAGTAAAGGACTAAAATTTGTTTCTGTTATCTATTCGACCTTATAAGGCACTTGCAACATCCTGAGGACCAGCAATATCCAGTAATAGAAATTAGATAGTACATGAACGCTTTTGGGTACAAAATATAAGAGAAGGAGAAAAATAACAATTCTACAATGTTTTTATTACTTCAATAAAAAGGAAAACCATCACCTTCAACTGGATCCTTAGATTGTAATTGGCACTCATACTCTAGGACAACAACATAAAAATAACTCAAATATCAATATTTCCTAGTCTACTATTACTACCATTGTACCATGATGTGTGATAAAGTAAACCTTCAATTCAGCAACCTTTTAATAAGCACAGACATGAAAAAAACAAATTTAAGCCAATGTGGCACTGTGTCAGGCTGCTAGTTTTATAAGTTAAATCATTCAAAAGGATGCCTATTGCAATCAAAAGCCAATTAGAAAGGCACGCAGTAGTCTGGTTTACTAATCAGAACTTCGTTAAATACAAAAGATATGTACAAAGCATCAATGAACGAAATTAACGACACAAGTACAAAGCCTCTCCAACAGTTTATTGGAATAACAGCAGCTGTAGAATTTACAAGCGGAAAGTATGAAAAGAAACCAAAAATAAAGATAAAAACAAATATCAGTACATTGCCACAAAATGCAATATAGAAGAGAGGAGAAGTATAATTTATCTCTTACATCTTCAGCAATTGTCACTATATTTGGATGAAGGGCGTGCAATATCTCATTTGCTAATATGAGGTAGAGGAAAGCATCCTTGTCGACATATTGGTTACAGAACCTGAATAAAAAATAAAATGAGCTGACTCTTTCTGAACAAGTATATTTACAATCAGATAGAGGAGAATGTCAACTCTTTGCAAAGGCTTGATGACAAATACACATAAGCAAAGGCAATTTTTATTATTTTCCTTAATAGATTATCAGATGCCTTACTCTTCCATATCGCCAGTAAGAGTAGTAAATCCATTGTGCGTATACATCATTGATGCTAGAGAATGAAAATTAAAGCCATCAATCTGGTATTCCACTATCCACCTGGAGAATGTCATCTTAGTTCCAATAAGTAGATCCGGTCGATATACAAGTAAACAACATAGAACACGACAATAAGAATTAGTTATAAGAAATCAGGAAGACACAGAAGGTGAAGCACATATAAAGCTTTAGAAAATTAAAAGAAGGGTAAAGGGGCTACACAGTCACCAATTTAAATTTGAAAGAAGGAAATGCAACACATCATGGTCTCCATAATTGAACATTCTTGTGCCCCAAAATTTGTGGTGGCCTCTTTTACCTGGAATGACATGCAAATTGGACGACATACTTACTTTATAAGTCAAAAATGCAGGTATTAACTTGTATTGATAAAGTTCATTCAACAATTTTCATTTTCCCTGTTTTGCCATCTGCAAATACAGTCAATGCCATCGGAAGCATTTGTGTTCCATTTTTATATTAATACCTTCAATTTGTCTAATAAGTTTTCTGACACAAATCAGATTCCATTTGCATGTTAATACAGCTTCATCAAGTAAGAGGAGATGTCAAATGATCACTCTGTCGATTGTATTATGAACTAAGCTCGTGATAATGCAATAGAAAATCCCCATACACATTAACTATTAAAAATCAGCATTCATTTAGCACTGTGATAAATAGAAAACCTAAGGTCAAACTTAATTATACTTATTCTGAGAAGGCACACCTAAGCACACTAAAGTTTAAAATTTCACCTGTAAATTGGTATTCATGAAAAAGTAAATTACATCAGCACAATGATGCAAACCGTAAACTAATAATTTGAAGTTGAACATGGATCTAACTGGCATGATAAAGTAGTTTCACAATATAAAAACTGGCAGACCTCTCACCTCTAGAGGATTTAAACTTGTTTTGGCTGTGCCTAATCCCCACAACAACTAAAATAGGATAACACTAAATGATATTGACGACTAAGTATCTAAAATAGACGATAAATGGTTTACCAGAGTGGAAGTAGCAATCATTTGCTCCATCAAAAAATGATAACCCAACCATTTCATCAGCAGCAGCATATGAATGAACGATATCTAGGAAAACAAGAAGACCAAGCCCTGCACATTATAAAGAGAACATTGAGTTACATAAGCTTAACAAGAATCTAACAATTAATTATGGAGACTCATTAGGTGTTGGAAAAAGCTTGTTTGGTCTTCCAATAACCCAATGATGCTAGCATAATTGAAAATTAAATTATAAATGCTTATTAGTGATCTTTAGCAGAACATAACATTACAAAGAGCATTCTATACAGCGGAAACACTTCTGACTGCCAAAGGTCGACCACAATCAAGATGCAAAAAGCCACAAACCTATGGAATTGTTGAACGCAAATCTATGCACGAGCCTATGCAAACAGGGTTGAACTCCTGAATTTCTGGGGGCACTAGCAAGAAATTCTATTCTAAAAGATAAGAAATTGACAGATTTAATCTTTCATTGACAAAGTAATGGGGATGACATTTTGTTATCCATTTTTCTCCCCAAAAAGGTCCTAGTTAGTAGTGTTTCCAAACCTATGAATGTCAGCAGGGGAACTCCTAGTGGTATAGACCAATCAACGCTTACCGCCTACAATTCAGACAGTTATCTAGTAACCCTGAAAAGAGAAAATCGGTCCAGCGCAGAAGTTCCTTGTTGTTGCATCAGGCTTGCATCAGGCCACACAAAAATTGTGAAGTCAACTCCAGTTGAAACTGGAATGATTTGTTACCCTCCCTAGTTTATTCTACTAAAGATAACTATTCAATCCATTAAGCACCTAAAGCCACTTGTCATTACATGATTATAAAAATATTATCCCCTAAAGATCTGTCTCAAAAACCTGTGAGAAGTGAAGAGAGACATCCATGACTAGTTTTTGCATAAACTTTTACATTCAGCTTTCATTCAATATTATATCTAATCGATCTAAGCTTTCAAGTAATTCTATTAGCAGCAGATGTAATTTGAAATAACCATGTGCTTCATCCACCAATCTCTTGAAATCTTCAGGTGTGCCAAAACGACTGCTAACAGCAAAGAAATTTGTCACCTGCAAAAAGGGTGTAATCAGATGAGGCAAAACTGATAAGGGAAATTGTCATTGTACCATAACACATCTCCGGGATGAAATATCTGCTCTCAGTTCACTAAAATTTCATATCCTCGTCAAACATCATAGAATATTCTCAAAAGAACCCAGTCAAGTCAAATAATTAGCAGAAGAAAGGAAAAAAAAATTCACGAAATAGATGATGTATTAAGAAGAAACATCAGCCACTTGGAAAGAAGGTAATGCATATTGAATTTGACAATCTTAGCACACAGTTGAAGCCTTGAAAACTCACCCTATAGCCAACAGTGAAATAATCTTTGTGCTCAGGAACTCCAATCAATTGTATCGCATTGTATCCAGCTTCCTTTACATGAGTTAAAACCTAAAATCACAACGAATAAGTGCAGTAACACTCATCATTTTGTAATGAACAAGATAAAGAACAACCACAAGATTACAATAGAATAGAAGTAGACACATTCAGAACTTTTAAAACAGAAAATTACACTGTCAGTGAACTCATTGAAGGTAGAAACTCCAGGATCCTTTCCACTTATCCCGACATGGCACTCATAAATTCGCAAAGATTTTGGCTTTGGTGGATGCTTATGTTTCCATTTGTAGGCACTTTCAGGAGGCAGTTCCCAATGAACAGCAAAAGGTAGATTACCATTTGCTTCTGCATATTGGAAATCATAGTTCAGCTAAAATTGATTGGAAACCACAGTTCATCTACAATTGATTGAGCATTGAGATTCAACAGATGGAATTCTTTAAATTGAGGGGACCATTGATCCGCTAAAAAAAATGATTAGATTGATAGAAGAAACAAATGCAATTCACAAGATAACATTAAAATGACAGAAAAGCATTGATGACCGAATATCAGTGTTTCTAATATTGAAAATGCCAAGCTATATACAATAAATTCTGTCTAGTTTAACAGGGAAAGCTAACTACAAACTTGACTGCTACTAAATACTAGTGATATGGCAAGCAAAGCCCCTGATGGAATCAAATGGCATGAACACTTAAAATTGTTGAAGTAGCAATTTCATTGCTTTTCGGCATATCATCCAATTTTCACATTACTATCACTAATAAGTCAACAAGTGAGATGCATTTAGAGATTCTAGACGCAGTAAGCAGAAGCTAGTACTGAGTTCATCTAGATTTGTTTTTTACTACAATCACAGAGTCAGATGCATGAATCAAAGTTAAGCAACAAGTAGTTGTATGAATTTTATATCACGCATTCCTCAAGAGAAACTGTACATATTAAAATTCGAGCCCGATAAATTTGTCATATAAAATGATAAAGAATTTTAAGCTGTGATTATTTTACACTTTTTTCATGCTCAGGAGGAGCAAATACTTGATGTATATGTGCATCCAACCTAGTATAATCTTAAATAGTAAATGTGTAATCTTAACTTGCAAAATGAATATGAATCAGAGTCAAAACAAGCAGATTTCTGAGAAACAATAGTAACTTGTTCATTATAAGCTGTGATTTTCCACTTCCATCAGCATCTAAAGTAATGTACCAAATTAGTTTATGGCTGCTCCAAATAAGAATCAAATGGCAGAAAATATCTAATTAGAAGCAGCACAACAGTGAAGCAACAAATGAGCACCAATGCAAGCATTATCGGACCTGGAATCACATATGTAGCCCAAGCAGGAACTCTCTCCAAAGGCCCCATGGGGGTGTTGAAGTACACCCTGTATTTGCTTCCATGGGGAATCCCAGGTCTATACTTTTGTAACCAAGCTTTCCTTCCTTTACGAGTCTCCAGCCAATATGGAATAGGGGGCTTCTTGGATTTGAATTTCTCTTGCCATGCAGGATCAGTTACGACTTCAAACTCATCATGGTCTTTTCCATCATCAATCACATCACAAGGTGGAAGGTTGCCAGGAGGATCATCTTTATGTTTCTCTTTCCAGGCTTTGTATCTTGTTTTTGCGTCTGGTATTTCTTCCAGTTCCTCTTCCGTCTGCGGCCCATTAGGCCCAAATATTTGCTCAAACAATTTTGCTGCTAACTCAAAACGTGAATTTATGAACCGGTCTTCGCCAGGTTCCCAGTACTCATCATTAGCTCTCTTGAAAACTTCTTCAACTGTAACACCACTGTCACCTTTATCATAATTGTCGACGTAATTGTACTGCTGAAAGTACACTTGGTCAGGCTCTTCTCCTTCCTTCAGTTTATCTTCAAGAATTATGAACCAGTACCCATAGTCATCATGGCCAAGATGACCCTCCCTGGCAGAATTCTCGGTTGGTGACCAACCATTAAAATCCCCCACCAGAGAACAATAGCGAGCACCTGACACCAAAGAGTTCAACAATTGGAACACCCAAAGAGCAGAAAGAAAAAGGAAAATATAGAAGGGATTTCTCTTCAGCAAGTATTTTATGGTCAAATCCTCAAGTTAGTTCATCACGGATTGAAACAATACTCCACGGACAAATTTGTTAGTAAATTCTCTAGTCGGATCATCCTGGTTCCAAACTATGCTCTATGCACTAATTGCACATTCGCAAACGTCATTTTCTTTTGCCAGGCATATATACTAAGGCAATCGATCAATATTATTGAAAGATGTGTCAACTTTCTTTACTTGTAACAGAAAGAATGGCATCAAACAATCTAGATTTTGTAGTTAAGATGTCTGACAACTAAAAGTCAATTTTCCCAACCTGGAGCCCAGTCCATGAAATCCACACGGTGCTGCACATTCCGGTGCATGCCAAGTATCTCGAATCTATGGAAAGACCCACACACACACACACACACAAAGAAAATCAGGAAAATGAAACCAAATAACAATATGGCCCATATTCAAACTAAAATGCCCGACACCAATCAGGGTGTATATTCATATGCTGACATTTCAAGGGTGCAACTTTTTATTAGAAATGTGATTTTTTTTTTTTTTTTTCCCAAGAGCTCGGACACGCCTAAATAGTTATAAAACAAGAAAAAGAAAAACTCCCTCAAATTCACAGGCATAAAAGCATTAACTCTTACCCAGAAGCCAGCTCATGAAGATTGAGGTGGCGATAATACAAAGCATCCTTCAAGTCCTTAAACGCCTTATGCCTGTAAAAAAATTTACATCCTTCGCTAAAATCAATCCAGCAAGCTTAATATCCCAGTATATACAAGTACTGCATATACCAGTCCAAATGGTATCAAGACGCATATAAAAAAGCACATACAAACAGCGAATCACATAAGTGCACACTATTACCGCTCACGAAGGAACTGGGCAAAGGCTTTGTCTGTAATGCCGTGTTTGGCGAGGAACCCGACAGGGTCGATGCCGTCATTTTTGTCATCATCTAGTTGTTGCTGGTTCTTCTTGCGCGGCCTCTCAGAATTCTGCCGCTGCTTTTGAGGACCTCTGGTTTGCGGCTGGGATTGATCACCAGCTAAGCATTTTCTTCTGCACGCATTGGTGTTAATGTTTGGGGGAAAGAGGATTTTGGCACCGGCATAACTTGTCTTTGAAAATGGAGGATTTATGGGGAGAGTAGAAAACCAAGGCGATTGTGTGAGAGAAATCATGGTTCTTATTAGAGTGAGCTGCAAACTGAGTGCAGATAAGGGACACAAGGAAGGTGGGAAAAACAAAAGATATGTATTCAGGGGTTTTTCCTCTAACAAAACCCCTAGCCCCTGTTTGTTTGTTTGTTTTTTTTTTTTTTTTTTTTTTTTTTTTTTTTTTTTTTTTTTTTTTTTTTTTTTTTTGTACATTAGCACCTGTTTGTTTTACGTGAGCATAGATCACTTTACACTTCTTAAAAACTAGTAAGTGCATTTTTTGGTACTTTCAATTTAGTAAAATAGATTAATTAATTTATTAAACATATTATTGTTGATATGGATATTGGTACCCATATATATTAGTACCCATATCGGCCTAACATGATAAACTCCCACGAAACCGGGGTAGAGCGAGCCAAGGGACGATCTTTGGGCCTAGCATCGACCGGCTTACACATGGGGCTCGACCCCTCGACCAATGTGGGGGCTCGACCCGCTGACCCGTGTAGGGGCTCGACCCATCGACCCTCAACCCTCAACGTAACCACTCGACCCTAGTCCCTCAACATCGACCCTCGAGCACTAACTCTAGCATCGACCGACGAAGGTGCTCGACCGAGAGCATATTGTGGGGGCGTTTGTTACTCAGTAGTAGACGTGGTGAAATTTATGACCCCGAGAACAATTAACTGCTATATATAAAGGGTAAATTCCCCAAGGGGAAGGTAAGACTTCATTAATATACTACTACAACATTTATTACACACAATTCTCTCAAAATCCGAGATCCTAACTTGGGCGTCGGAGGCCTTGCGCCGGAGAAATTTCGGCGCGCTTTCAGGTACCGGCGAACACTCAAGCTCGGACCGGACCGAATCAAGTGAACCAACGTCACAACCGGGAAGAACCTTCCGCAAGACCGAAGCCACCGATCTCGGACCATATCAAATTGGCGTCGTCTGTGGGAACCCTAGCTCAACCGACGTTGATCTGGTGGTGTCTCATACATCACAACCGGAAAGCAAACGGAGGAGTAAGGATTGAAGAAGATGGTGGGAGAAAGAGAGCATGAACAACATGAAGAAGACAACTCTTGGTTGCACAAGCGTCCTGTAGGGGCTGGGCCGCCGCCGGGGTGGGTATTGTGTGGAGACACGTCGGCGACTCCAGCCCCTGCTGCTAGGCGGCCGCCGAAGCAGTTGGAGACAGCGGCGAATAGCCCAACACAAGTGGGCACGATGCAAACACCGACAAGACCAAGTGCGAGCTCACCACTCCAAGAGGTAGGTGAAGAGGAACTGCAACTCCAAGGAGGGGCGGCGGAGGAAGGCGGCGCGAATACTCAGCTTTTCATCCCGGAGCAGCCCATACAAGTCACGCCCAGCGCGTTGGAAAGAATGATAGCGGCGGCGGTGGAGGCTAGACTAGCGTCGATTTCACCTCCGGGAAGGGCGATGACGACGAGACCGGAAGCACAGGGCTTAGAGGCTCGACCCTCTACCCTGGCGCGCGAAATGGTAACTTGACCCGAAGTGTTGGGGCGCGATGAGATAGATCGACCTGTAAGGCCAACCGTGGGTGGGGGTGAGCATGAGCCAGAGCAATCGGTCTACTCGTCAGGAGCTCCACAACAACATGCAAGGGATTCGATCATCGAGCGCATGGCGGAGCAGTTGCGCGAACTCCAAGAGAAGGTTGAGGGGTGTCGAGGCCCCTGTCGTGCAGGTCACCCATTCGCGGACGAAGTGTTGGGTGCAGATTTGCCTCAAGGATTTTGAGAACTCATCATGTCGTATGATGGCTCTACAGGCCCAGCTCGACATATCAGGAGCTTCGAGAACATAGCGGTGTTGCACAGGTATAGCGATCCGGTTTGTTGTAGAGCCTTTCTGACCACGTTGAAGGGTGCGACCCAAGATTGGTTCCACTAGCTGGCACAAGGTGTTGTCAAAGATTTTTGAAGCTTCAGTTTGTTGTTCACCAACCAGTTCGCAAGCGCGGATAAACATGAGAAGACATATTTATCCTTGATAAACGTGCAACAGAGGGAGGAAGAGACACTGCGGGCCTACATAACCCGTTACACCCGTGCATGTGTCGAGGTGCCAAGCGCTACGGAGGAGATAAAGGCCGGCGGATTAACCCGGGGTTTGCGACCTGGGCCCTTTCGAGATTCCTTATCCAAGAGACCGGCCCAGAGTTATGACAAATTGTTGCAGATGGGAAGCAAATACATGAACATGGAGGAGGCGCAAGAGGACTTCCTCATACAAGACAGCAGGAGGGACAAGAAGCAAGAGCCACGGCCGCCTCGACCTGATGATAAGAAAGGGGGCGAGAGAAAAAGCGGGTAGACGAGAGAGGATGGACGCCGTTATACCTGTCGAAGTAGGGGCCGGCTCGCGAAGGGTCGACATATACGATGAGGGTACTAACAACGAGCTCCAAAGAGAGGCCTTGGAAACGATTGATGAATTGCGCGACGCGGCGGCCCAAGGGTGGCTTTGTACAAACAACGGATGAAGATGGGCTATGATAAGAAGGTTAGACCAAGAGGATTTCAAGTTGGAGACTTGGTGTGGTGAAGGGCAGTTGCGCTGAGGAAAGTCGGAAAGATGAAACCAGTGTGGGATGGGCCGTTTAAAATTCTCAAAGTTCTGAAAGGAGGAGCGTACGAACTCGAGGACAAGTATGGCAAGGCGTTGCCTAGGGCGTGGAACGTTATTCACCTTAAGAAGTATTTTGTTTGCGTAAAGCTAGGGAGAAACAACGGATGTATATACCTTTTGTTGCCTTTGTTGACACCGTAGTACTTGTTCCGGTGAATATCGTGTAGCCTTAAGGGCGTTTTGATGTACGACAATATTTGTGATGATGTGCTTAATGAAATTTCGTGTTTTGTTGAAAACAATAATAATATGTGTCACAACCTACAGGGCCACGCGGTTCGATCAGAAGCCTTAGGGCTAGGTCACCCGGGGCGAACGTTTTCTTTTTCAAGGCCACGCGGGTCGATCAGAAGCCTTAGGGCTAGGTCACCTGGGGCGAATATGTTCAAGGCCACGCGGGTCGATCAGAAGCCTCGAGGCTAGATCAACAGGGGCGAACGTTTTCTTTTTTAAGGCCACGCGGGTCGATCAGAAGCCTTAGGGCTAGGTCACCCGGAGAGAATATGTTCAAGGACACGCGGGTCGATCAGAAGCCTCGAGGCTAGATCGTCCGGGGCGAACGCTTTCTTTTTCAAGGCCACGCGGGTCGATTAGAAGCCTCGAGGCTAGATCATCCGGGGCGAACATTTTCTTTTTCAAGGCCACGCGGGTCGATCAGAAGCCTTAGGGCTAGGTCACCTGGGGCGAATATGTTCAAGGCCACACGGATCGATCAGAAGCCTCGAGGCTAGATCGTCCGGGGCGAACTCTTTCTTTTCCAAGGCCACGCAGGTCGATCAGAAACCTTAGGGCTAGTCACCCGGGGCGAATATGTTCAAGGCCACGCGGGTTGATCAGAGCCTTGAGGCTAGATCGTCTGGGGCGAACATTTTCTTTTTTCAAAGCCACACGGGTCGATCAGAAGCCTTAGGGCTAGGTCACTTGGGGCGAATATGTTCAAGGCCAGAGGGTGGACTAGAAGCCTTAGGGCTAAGTCACTCAGGGCATATACTTTAAAGCCAGAGGGTGGACTAGAAGCCTTAGGGCTAAGTCACTCAGGGCATATACTTCAAGGCTAGAGGGTCGACTAGAAGCTTTAGGGCTAAGTCACTCAAGGCATATACTTCAAGGCTAGAGGGTGGACTAGAAGCCTTAAGGCTAAGTCACTCATGGCATATACTTCAAGGCTAGAGGGTCGACTAGAAGCCTTAGGGCTAAGTCATCTAGGGCATATACTCCAAGGCCACGAGGGTCGATCACCTCAAGGGTCGACCACCTCAGGGTAGATAACCTCAAGGGTGTGCGATCAACCCACATGGGTGCACGATAGACCCAAGCGGGTGGTGATCGACTCAGGGAAATGTAGGGTCTAAGAGTTCGACCAGTGAGCGCACGAGGGCCGTGCAAGATTGTCAAGGTCGACCCACGATGACTCGCAGTAGACCAGAAGGTCGACCCAGGCGGGCACGTGAGTAATCCAATGGCAAGCAGGGATTGATCTACACAGGTGCGTGATAGGCCCAATGTTATACCCCTGAGTGTATCGTCGGATGGTGGCGCGACGCATTGACGCAACCAGGTACGACAAAGCACGACACTGAGGGATGTTATGCCGAGTAGGAGAAGTCTCTGGCTATCTCAGCAGGGATGCTGATTTGCAGGGCCAAGTATTGGGCCATTCATAGATTGAATACGAGATTCAATCGAGCCTTCACTACGCAAAAAAAACACATGTGCGATACTCAACTCTTAGGGGTTGATGCATACTTTGAGTCGGTTCGAATCAAGGTGTCATGTCAAAAGAATACTTGATTACGGGGGCAAGTGAAAGTCGAGGGCTCAGTTGGATCTCGGTTACCGCAGGTTGTGCATGGCCTTGCGGGCACGTGGGTTAAGCGAGACAAGATCGGGCATAAGCTGGTTTAGGGCAGAGAGGGCGCCAAACGTTGCATTTTGATGGACACGCGAGTGTAGGCGTGATGTTTAAGTCATTGGCGGGAACGGTTGGGATTTGAATGGAGTGCGTGGGCATCGCATGGACCAAATAGTTGTTGGGTCCTAGGCGGTGGCTAGGAACACATGGTCAAGGCAGCTCTTTACCTGTGGGTTGTGAGTCGGTCAGACAAGATAGGCATGGGCGATCGGCACTAGTCCTCCGTCATACTGAGTTGGTATCAGGTCGAGATGGGAACGTGCCAGAAAGTAGTTAAAAACTGTCAGTTGATTACCTGTCGATTCCCAAATGGTTACCCAACGGAGAGCTAACGGGCGGCTCCGCTGAGGCCTATAAATAGACAAGGCGGACGTACGCATTTTGATGAATAGAGCATGCGTTTGGTGTGCACAGGCATATGACGCCGAGTAGATTGAACT